TGCTGTGTGTTTTATTATTAATGTATTTTATGTATTTCTGTTTTATGTTACTGTGAAGCACCTTGTGGTTTTTATCCTGTGAAAAGTGCTATACAAATAAATTGATTTGATTTGATTTGATGTCACTTTTCAAAGATGTTTTTGAGGTGTTGGCATTGAGGCGTTCAGGAGTCTTGAGCCAACGGTTGTCGTGATTTGGGCTAAATAAATAAAGTCAAATTGAGGAACCATCATTCTTCACTAAAGAAATCAGTTCACAGGCTGTACTGAATTATTTAACAGGTTTGGCTTTTCAAATTGATGTTCAACAGAAGAGGCCCCAGGATAGAGCCTTGGGGTGCTCCCAATATTTAATTACTGGAAACTTAGACACCTGGCAGTCCTTGGCCAAAAATAAAACCAGTTCTGGACTCATGTGGTCCACCGAGGTCAACTGAGACCAAAACCTCTCTGAACAGAGACAGAAGAGTAGAAGTGCAGTCCAGCTAGCAGACTTACCATCATCCAGGATGGTCTCTGGTTCTGGTTCCTGCTTGTGCGATGGTTCTGTCAGACCTTCATTGGGTCCGGGCATCTGCTCAAGCAGTTCTTCAGGTTCAGTCGCGAGTTTCTGGGCTGCCACTTCAGACACGAGCACAGGTTCTGGATCAGTCACAGGTTCTGGGACAGTAACAGGTTCTGGGACAGTCACAGGTTCTGGGACAGTTTTGGGTTCAGATACGAGTTCAGGGGACATGTCTGGTTCTGATAAGGGCTCTGCTACAGGTTTGGACTCTGGGGTAGGTTCTGCAGCTTGTTCTGGGCCCGGTACCAAGCCTGGTATGGGTTCAGACACTGCTGCTGCTTCTTGTGCTTCATCTGGTTCGAGAACAGGTTCTGGGCCTGATACAGCTTCAGAGACAAGTTCTGATACTGTGACTGATTCTGGAACAGACTTTGGTTCTTTGGTTGGTTCAGGGACTGCTTCTGGTGCTGGTGGTTGCTCTGCTCTTGTCTCTGGCACTTTTATTGGTTCTGCCACAGGTTCTGGTGCCTTGACTGCTTCTGTGACCTCTGGATCTTCTGCTGCTTTCGGCTCAGCTTCTGATATCTTCGCTGGTTCTGGGACGTGTTGTGGTTCTGGGACACGTTGCAGTTCTGGGACACGTTGCAGTTCTGGGACACGTTGTGGTTCTGGGACAGCCTGAAAAGAGAAAGATTATGAAAACAGTTCACAGCAGTGGACGTCACAGTTGAACGAGCAGCTCGCCGACTATCAAAACTGAGATAAACCTGCTGGTTTATCAGGTTAAGTCTGGAATCTGCTTTGGGAAAGTTTATGAATGACGTCATTCTGTAATTCAAAGTAATTTTTCCTTTTGAGAAAACTAAACAGATTTCTCGAAGGCTGGTTTTTGATAACTTTAAAGACCTTTTCTTAGGATTAGAGACCGTTATTACACAGTAAGAGTTAACCTGTCAACGTGCAAATATAGTCTTGCTTGTTCAAATCTCGCTGGCGCTGGATTTTGCTGACTCGGGGAACCGAACCCAGATGCTTTGAATCTGGGCCGCAGAGGAAAACCAAACAACCGCCATGAAAAGAAAATTTCATGAAGCAGAGAAATGTAACATCAGCCAGACTTGAAGGAACAATGAAAAACACCTGGACACATGTGGACTCCCTGTAATGACCTCTGCACAGACCAACTCATCTGGAGGTCATTGCTGCTCGCAGCACCTCCACAGCAACACTGGGACAAATAAAACTCCTCAGCTAACCTGTTGCTTCCTCGACACCCTGCAGCTCATCCATGCAGCTATATGCAGTGTATGTACTATATATACCCAGGTATATATCTAGCGGCTGACCTCCCTATTTGGCTGTACTGTTGCACCTGTCTGTCTCTTTGAAGTGCTGAGGTTGCACGCATCGACATCCGAGCAGCAGATCTGGTTTCTGCCTCAGCCTCTCTGCTTTACCACCATCCAAACGTTCCTCCTGTCCTCTTCTTTAGGAGGCGCTTATGGCCTTAAAGAAACCAAACACTTGGAAGGCTTTATGGAGACGAAGGAACTTCTATTAAACTGAGATCTGTGACTGCGTACAGCGAGCTCATTGCCGAGTTCTAGAAAGCAGTCCAAGATGATCTGAGCTCTGAGACCTGGAGCTGGCCTGAGCTCATACAGGGATGGGC